GACAACGGTGGGCCGCCCCCCCCCCCCCCCCCCCCCCCCCCCGATGGCAGACATCCTCGTGATAGCAGCCGGGTATGTGATTAAAGTAGGTTGCAGCCCACCCACCTCTCCCCTGCACTGGTAAGAGGGATGCTCCGCACCATGGCAATCGCTCCGCTCGGCACATAAAGCATTTCCAGGTACTGGGACAAAATGTGGCTTTAATTGGTGTCCTCTGGGGTGCCGAGCTGGGCCGTTGCCTTGTCGTGCAGCCAGAAATAAATGCTGTAACAAATATGACTCAGAGGCACATGGTGAAAGGGACTGGTTTCATGACAGATCGGCTGCATGACTAGCTCCCCCTTAGCAAGGGAGATGGCCAACACCTTGTCCTCCCCCTGCCAGGGAGGGTGAAACGCGGCGTGGTGAGGCTCCCCCGCCACCCAGGAGCAGTCACGGATGACAGAATAATTGACGACTCTGTGCTGCTTGTCATGGCCCAGCATCATAAATGCTTAAAAGGTTTATTTACCAATTCTGAAAACTCCTGTGCGCATCATGTTTAATGCAAATAGAGAGTGTGTTTAGGAAGATATGAAACATTACTAGAGGGAAAGGCAGTCCATTATCTCCGTGCAAACACCTCCCTCTCTAGCTGTAAGCCAAACAGCAGGGGACCGAGCAAGACATGCTGATGAGGGTAACTAATGCAGGCCTATCCGACCGTGAAAAGGAAGGATGGGATCATCTGGAGCAGGGGAGACAGCTTTGCCAAAACAAACCACGTCACGTGCTGGTTGCAAAACCTCGGAGGCTGATTCGCAGTCAACCAGTTCATGCTCTTGAAGATACCTTTGTTCTTCTCCTGCTCCAAGGCCAAGTCAGGTCACTAGCGTAGGACAGAGGAGCCTCAAGGGTGCAAGATAGCATGAATCCAGTTCATCTGGAGCGAGAAGCAGCCTCCGAGTGCTGTGCTCTAGCTGTACCTCTCTTTGCCGGGGGCTGGGATCCAGGCGGGGGCCAGCTCGGTGCTGCTTTCCCAGACCTGCCTCCCCAGGAATCGGCAGCAGCGTTTTTTGATTGCTGTGAGATCCCTTCCCGGTGCTGGTGCCCTGTGGAGAGGTCCTGGCCAGATGCAGAGTCAAACCCCCAGCACTGTGAAAAGGCATTAGCATCTTCCTCTGCGGGAGCAAAGAGCTCCGGAGCATCCCCGGGGGTGTCGCATCGTGCTTTGAGAGCACAGCCAGGCCAGGATTGCTCAGGCGGATGGGCACATCCCCGCAGGTGGATTGTTTTCCTCCCAAACCCAGGCAGCGCTGGTAGCAGGGATGCTGATTTGGGCTTCCTCGTAGGGGAGACTTGTGTCATTTAAAAATAAATACCAGCGAAATGAGGTAAAGGGTTGTGCGGCTGCAGCTGCTTCACGTTGCAGCCAGATTTGTGCGTCCCCATCAGTAACGATTTTAAGCTAAACCAACGCGAGCCTGGTGAGCGCAGGGAGGTGTGCTGGGCGCTGGAGGAGGGCCAGCCCCGGGGATGTGTGCCGTTACATCGCCCGGGGCCACGCTGTCGTTCTCTGCCTGTGCTCGGCTTCCTGGAAAAAGGAATTTCCCTGTAACTTGCAGCGTGGGGAGCAGAGTGTAAATCACCAAGATGCTGTGTTCTTGCTCACTCCCAAGCACGTTACATTTATTCTGCGTTTTGTTTCCTTGCTCCAGTCCAAAGCGAAGATTAAATGGCTTGCCCTGGGGTCCTAAAAACTCTCCAACAGTAGAAAACCTAGTAGGAACGAGCTCCAAGGAAAACAAAAAATATCATCCAGGTCCCTAAACCATGGGGTTTAAATATCATCCTGGACTTTGCTTGGTGCATGTAACTTGCCATCTGGTCTTTGAGCCTTCAGAAGGTGCGTTTCCAGCCGCTTGTCCATCAGCCGGGCAGTCAGGATTGTCTCTCTCAGCTTTCATTTGGGCAACAGAGAAAATCCAGGGATTTGCAGGGCTTGGGGAAGCTGGACATCGGGGGAAAAAAACTATCCCAAGCCCTGCAGGTAACGTCATGGAAGTGCTTTCCAGCCGAGGAGCCCGGGAGCGCGGGCAGGAGCAGCTTTCCTGGCCCAGCCCTGTCAGGCAGCGGTGGCTGGAGGCACAGGAGAGCTGTTACTCCACTTGAATTTCAGCCTCCAGGGTGCTCATTAAAAAAAGGCTCAAAGTTTCCTACCTCATGTGTCAGCAACATGTGGAGAAACACTGTGTACGGCTCTGCGGGTCTGTTATCTCCTCTCACTATTATTAATGGGCATTTTTTTAATCACGGTGTGGTCTCCTTTGTAGTCATACGTTTGTATCGGAGCCATGTGAGATGCCGGGCCTGCCGAACCCTGCTCCGGGCAAAGTTCAGGGGGCTGAAGGGAGGGCTCACAATTATTCCACTCACAAATGAGTATTTGGAAGGTCAGACCTGAAATGCCTGAACAAGCCTGGAGCTGAGAAGCTGTGTTCGCACTTGAAAATGCATGTCTCTAGTATTTTCCTTTCGCCATTCCAGTCCTCCCCCTGACTGTCAGGCTTCAGCCGTGAATCACTCCTGGGCACGTGGCTAACACATGAACGCTGCAAAATATTTTGATGGAGAGGAACGGGGGTGGGAGCACGAGATAACCCAGCCGATTGTTCCCAGCCCTTCAAGTCCTGTGCCGAGGCATCGCAGCCTCCAGCGTTTGCAAGGGTGTCCTTCCCAGAGCTCCCAGTCACAATGAAACCTGGGGTTTGGCGAGCAAGGCAAAGCTTTTGATATTGCAGTTTGGTGGGGCTGGTATTTCCAGGAGTGAGCAAAGGTTGCAAGTCGAAATGGCTGCCCCAGGTCAAGCCCTGGCTGCTCACAAGGCTTCGGCTCCTTGCTTCTCCCGTTGGGAGGTTGAGTAGGTCCAGGTAGAAGAAGGGACCCGGTGAAGGGTCCTCCTCAGCAGCGTCCTCTCCCAAAGCTCCGCATCTCCCAGGAAGAGGTGGGTGATGTTAGTAATGAGTCGCCGCTTTTAACAGCCCTTGTCTCTCCGACAGCTTCACAGAAGCCATGAAGAGCCAGCCGAAGCTGGAGGGCTTGGACTGCCACTGGGCCTATTACTCAGGCTTGGCCATCTTGGCTGTAGGGACCTTGTTTGTCATCTCCAGCTTCTTAGCACTGGGATTCACCGGGACGTTCCTAGGTAAGCACTAAAAATTCAACAGCTTAACCAGAAAGTGCATTTAATCCTTGCAGGGGCCTTTTGCTAGGGCAGAGTCCTGTAAGAATTTCCTCATCCTTGCCTTCAGGGCTGTTAGATTTGGTCTTGGCTTTATGATACCGAAGCGTGATCTAACCATGCCGTTACCTTGCACGGAGGAGATGGTGCAGTGGTTTTATACGGTGAGTCCCATCACCTTCAGTGTCAAGCCTGAAATTTTGGAAAGCAGCTGATCATCTGACAGTCCGAATGCCCTCCGGGAAAGGGACCCCAAGTGCAGACCCTGCGAGCAGGTCGGCGCCGGCACAGCGGGTGCGAGCTGTCCGGCAGCCTTGTTCTGAGCCCCCACCCGCTCAACACACGTGCCGAGGCAGGATCTCGTTTGCTCTTCCCTCTGCAATAAACCTGACGTTCGTTGACAGATTCTTTTATCTGCCGCTTTATGGCAGAAGGCATTTTCCACTGTGCTTGCTTTCACATTTAGAGAATAATTCTATTAGCGTTGTTGACTTTAAAAACATGCCAGTATGTGTGGAATTCATAAAAATAAAATAGAGACAGGAACAATAAATACCTCAGGAAAGGGGCAGCTCCCGCTGGCTGAAATAATCACAGCCCCAGCTTTGACACTGCATTTAGGCTGTGCTTTTGCAAGTGCTTTACAAACCAAATTCAATTAGTTCCTGCAGCGTCGCCAGGAAGAAGAGAGGGAGGTAATAAGCCTTCCTGGTTTCAAGTGGAGTTGCAAAGAAATGTGTTGAGTTGGCCAAGATCCTGCCGCCAGAAATAGAGCTCAGCCCTCCTGAATGTGTGCCCTCACCCTTCATCTGTGCAGCCCTGCTCCTGGGCCCCGTGTTACACCCCTGTCCCCCCCAGCTACCGGGCACCGGCATCCTCCAAAATCACCCGCAGCCCCCAGGAGCGATGCTGTGTCTGCGGAGACACGTCCAGAGAGGCCGGGCACAGGAGTACCCGCCAGCAAGAGCTGCTTGAGTGCTCCTGAAGTTCAGCCAGGTCTGGGGTTGTTTACGTAAACCCTGATTCATCCGACCAGGAGGATCCACTGGGCTTGAACCGCTGGGGAAAAGCAAACAAGTGAGTCAGGCTCAGCGTAAGTGGTGAGGGTGGCCCTGTCCCCCTCTGCTCTGCGTGGCCGGTGGCTCCCGTATCCCCCGTGCCAGGGAAGAGGCAGGCGTTAGTGGACCATATCGGGCACTTCTGCTCCATCCTCTCTGCTGGCGGAGGCTCTCCCTGCCAGGAGTACACCGGGCTGAGGCTGCACGGCCCCAAGCCTTGCATGACGCAGCGGGGAGCGAGGCCAGCTCTCTCTGCTAGCTGGGGCATGACGGGCGCTTGGGCAGAGCTGAGTCAGGGTGGGAAGATGCCGAGACCATGTGCTGGTGCAGCTGGGCTGGCTCGGGACCTCGGTGCCACAGAGGCATGGCCCAGCTGGAGCCCCACGGAGCATCCATCCTTGGACCAATGGCGGCTTCTCAGCTCCGTGCAAGCCCCCACGTGTCCAAGTCAGCAAACTCTTAATGGAGAATGCTGTTCAGCGTGGCTTCTTACCCAGCCGTGGGGAAGATGAGGGGTCTGCAGGTCTCTGAGGATCTCATGTGGGATGTTCTCTTGCTCAGGACTCACTTGGGGCTGGTACTTCCAATGTCCTCCTGCATGCAGGGTTTTAGTGATGTGCTGGTGCTGCGGGAGGAGCAGGGTCCCCCAGCAGTGATAGCACTTCTGACTGCAGGTAGCAAAGGGCTGCAGTGCTTTGGCAAGAAGGGGACATCCAGCTGCTCCCAGTTGATACCTGAGCTCAAGAGAAGTTTTGAGAGAGCCTTTGACACCCAAGCACTTCTAAAACTTACTGGGACAGCATTTGACCCTTCCCTTTTGGGTTTTCCTACAGCAATGAGGGCTGAACTAGGCAGGGCACAGAGACTGCATCGGCGCTGCCCGTTAGATTCCTCTTTAACAGCACATTTAAGCTTTGGAGGGGCTGCAAAGCACTTTGTCTCTTAAGTGTGGGCTGAAAGGTGCGGTGGGAGCCACGTCAGTCACCCTTCTGCAACAAGCCTTTCTGTGCCGCCCCATCTCCCGCACGGCAGCACCGACCCCAGCCTGTGCAGCGGCTGGATGCGGCCCCTCGCCCCGGCAACCTTCTCCCCTGCAGAGCAATCCTCCCAGCACCCCGTCTCGGCACCGTGCCCTCGCAGGGATTCGGGCATCAGCTCAGCGCCATCCGCCTCGCCATGTTTCCTGGCGAAGGTAGTAACGAGGGCTTGGCCTCCCAGAGGCCGAGGGCACCGAGAGGCGGGTCTGCCTGTCTGAGCCCATCTGTCTCGCACCCGAGCGCGGTTCCTTCCAGCACTGACCAAGATTTCAAGTAAATCTGACTTGACCGAAGTTTGTTACTGGGCTATGGCAAAGCCAGCGGCTCTCTGGAGAGAAGCAGAGATGGTGCTTCAGCCCAGGTTGGGCTCCGGGGACCGTGGGGGACCTTGCGGAGTCCATCAAATAACTTTTGGCTGCCGCAATCCAAAGCGTCTACCCTGTGCAGCGAGATGGTTACACTGACCTCCAGCAAAAAATAACCCAAATTAGATGCCAAAGTCCCCCAGCCTGACAAGGGGCTGATTCCTGCCTTGAGGGCTTAATGGAGGCACAGGAGATGCCCAGGCTGATGCTGTGCAAACCGATGCACGGTCCTTTCCCTTAGCACCTGCCTGAATATGAAAATATTGCAGGTCCTCTCTGGTGGTCATGTTCATTTAACTGCGTGGGTTTAGAGGCAGAGTTTACATCAGAAAAGCTCGTGTCCTGGGGGAGCTGCCTGCTCCCCCCAGCTGCTGTGTGCTCTTGCTTGCAGGGAGCCTGCCCGGAGGGTCCTGCAGCCCCACTGGTGCCAGGCTCAGATAAGCCCCTGCCAGCCCCATGGACCCAGGGCTGTGTGTGAACCTCCCCGGTGCCAGCACCGTTTGGGGAGCGAGGTGTTCAGCCCGAAGGCGAGGGCGGGCAGGGTATAATGAAGCATTTTGACACATAAGAAAGCACAGAAATGGGCTGTGGCGGGGGGGTGATGTGTTCTTTCTACCAGAACGATCTCAGAGATGCATTGCCAAGTAACTGTGAGAACATATAGTATGAATACCAGGCAATTATCTCACTTAGTCGCCTGTAGTTAAAGCCCAAAAGCATTGTCTAATTGGGCAGGCACTGTTTATCCTTAGAAATAAATGTTTTTGCACCATGTGAGGTCAAAGAAACTACACTGTGATCCAGGTAATAATAACCTTGAATAGTTTGCACTCCTGTAATGCCTTTTATCTGGATTTCCGAGCACTTTCTCACCATACATTAATCCTCACCACCCTCCGTGCTATAAGAAAGACTGATATTATGATTGGTGCACAATAGCGCTGGGAGGGATGGAGGAGACTTGCCCAAGGTCAGGGAACAGGCTGGCAGCAGAGCTGGGAACGCGACCCAGAGCTGTGGCAGCTCCCTGAGCTGATGGACCGGCACTGCTCCTCGCTGATTGATGCTGCGTCTTGTACAGTGGGCACGGAGCAAAATCCTTGCTGGGCTTTGCGGTCTCGCAAGTAAGACCAGCAGAAATCAAGGCTCGGCATCCCAGCCCTTTCTCCCTCCCCAAAACGCCGCTCACAGGTTGCACAACATCTCCTTGCTTGTCATTTCTTTTCTAGGCTCCTTTCAGGAGGGTGGAAGGATTACTCCGAGGTAGATAGGAAGCTGGTTGGATGCTGACAGTTCTGAAAGCTTTCCTCATTACAGATGACAATCACCTATTATCATCATCATCATCATGCCGATAATTGAGTGTTTTGTAGGCAGGGGTGCTATTTTCTGAAATTCTGAGAAACTCTCTGAGCTGTGAGATAAGGGTGACACTGAATGAGGACATTTGGTGGTGGCGGTCGTGATTATAACATCTCGAAACACCGTTACAGTGCGCTGGGCTTATTTCCCCATTAAATGGATTTGATCCTATGCAATTGCTTCCTCGTCAAGTGGCATCAGACGGGCAGTTTTCAAATGAGAAAGCCAGAATCAGCCAGTTGGGACCTCCAGAGCTGCCTCCCGGTGAGGGACGTGCCTGCCATAGCCTCACTGCAATGCACAAACCTTCCTCATGGGCAAAGAGCCATTCCCGGAAAAGCTGATAGACACAGAGTAAACAGCCAACCTATTTGTTGCTCTTTTCTCAGCCTGGAAGTCGGCAGCAAAATCCCTCGTTTGCCTTCGCTCTGCATCCCCGGCAGGGATGCCCCGTGGCATGGGGGAAGGTAGCAGCGCGCCAAAGCCCTCTGCGACTCCCGGCTTCGTGGAGCCTAACGAGAAACCCTCTGTTTGCTCTGCAGGTGACTACTTCGGCATCCTGATGGAGGCAAAAGTGACCAGCTTCCCCTTCAGCGTCCTGGATAATCCCATGTACTGGGGCAGCACAGCCGTCTACCTGGGCTGGTCCCTCATGTGAGTACGTGCCCCTGCCCAACACCACAGGTCGTAAGGGCAAGCGTGGGGCCTGTGCTTGGCAAGGGCATAAGGCGCCGGGCTGTATCGGAGGACAAAGAAACACTTGGTGATGGCAGTCAGCCATAAAATGGCAGGGAAAGTGCAACATGCCCTGACTTCTCGCTTCCTGACTATTTTTGTGCCTGCAAAATCTTCTGCTCTCATAAAAGACTTGTAGCATTAATTGTAGAAAAATAAATAACAGCCAAGTGCTGGGGAGAGGAAGCATCAGCAAATGCTCTGAGGCTGAATGAGGTCCTTGGCAGGCTCCGCACGTGGAAAAATCAACAGTTAGGGCCAAATTCATGCCGGGTGTCACTCGGCAGGGGCAGGGCACTGATACTGGGGATCAGTGTGACCCTGCAATTACCTCTGAAAAAAGCAAAACAAGCCAACGCACCCTTTCCCCCACTGCACAGTGATAACACTTCCGAAACACTCCTCATGTGAAACAACACGGCTTAATAGCCTGCTTAGGAGGAAGTTAATAGGCCGTAATTTAGCAGCAAATGAGCAATATACTCTATTCTGTGTAACAAGTTTTATGTGGTTTTCATTTAATATCACATTTTATTTATTTGCCCGGGAGAAAAAACCCTGGCTGTGTTACATCAGCAGCCCGTAGAGCATTGCGGGCCTTTATCACTACGTATTTTGCACTGGTGCTCCTGAGTGTGACCACCTCTCTTCTACTTCAGTGGAAAAAATGAAGTGCTTTGTCACTTTCTGGTCACCTTTTCAGCCATGTGTGCAGCGCTTTCTGGCCCCTGGTAATAAGTAAAGGTGATGTTTTCTCTCCTGTCTCCACTGAGCCTTGCTGCCGTTCGTTCTGCACTTGAAATCCCCCCCCCAGTGCCGTCAGGGCTGGCTGCACGAGGCCATTTGGCTTCCTGGCAGACCCATGGCACTGGATTGGGTCCAGACCCTGGGAAATGGTGCACAAGAGCTGGGGCGAGCTCGCTGCTGGGGCCCTGGCAGTGCCAGGCAGGAGAACCAGCCGCGGGGTCGGCAGCGGCGCGATGGCAGCGTGGATATTGCTGAGGGGAGTGAGGCAGAGCTGGGGCAGGATGAGCCCCCCCATTCCGCGCCACGGACGGAGAGCGACTGGCACCACCACCCTCACAACACCACAAAATGAGGAATTTGACCAGGAGGAGCTACAAGAAGATTTTTATTTAAGGTCAGCATTGAACTATTTCCTGGAACCCTTGCAGAACAGCTAAACCCTCCTGAGCTGTTTCTGTCGCAGAAATCCCTTCTTCACCCCCACGAGAGAGCAACCTCGCAACGGGTGCACGTTGCTTGGTGTTCCACCGCAATCCTGGGCAAAAGCAGCTCGAAGCGGCTCGAGACAGCAGTGTGATTGCCTCCTTTGTCTCGTTAAAAGGCTGCCACCATAAAGGGCAGCAAGACATGACAAATAATTGCTGTTAACAAATTGCTGGAGCTGTGCAAGGTGGCACCAGGACACTGCCCGCCTGCCCTGGGGAAGCCCTGCACAACCTTTCTCGTGGTGGTTTTGACTGTTTCTCTTCCCTGGGATCTCAGCTTGGATTGTTGAGGTTTTTGGGGGGGTCCCAGGTCTCTTCTGAGGTCCCAGGGCTTTCAGAAGATGTTAGGTGTCTGCCCTCGGAGGCCAGAGCTAACGTCCCGGCTGTATGGCAGTGGGAGGGATGCCGGAGGAATGTGTTTGCCGTCTGGTTTTTGGACAGACCTAAAATGTAGAGCATATTTTGTCCTCCCTCGGTGATGTATCACGCTCCATATCGTGGCATTGGAGCCCAGAGGATTGATTCATTTTCATCTGTAAGGGCACATACCACATAACGTAAGCGAGCCTGGCAGCGCACCAGACAGCCTGCCTTCCGACTCCAGTCCAACCTTAAAAGCATCGCGCGGGGCGAGAGCCGCTGTTTTCTCCCTTGCAGGATATTGCAGCTATCCCCAGCTTGACTAATGGCAGCTCTGCAGCCAAAAATGTGCCCGCCAAATACGCTGGAGAAGGCATCTCCGCCGATCACCATGAAAACAGGAGCTTCAGGAGGAAAGGGCAAAGCGGGTGTCCCACGTCCAACACCCGGGACCAGTGAGGCCGGCGGGGAAGGATGCGAGCCCACGCTATTGCTCTTGCAGGCAACCCACAGCCATGGGGAACTGCAGGAAGGGTTGGGGACGGACAGACTTCCTACCCCAAAAAAGTCCTACCAAGACCATGAAACCATCCTGGCTGTCTCTTTGTCGACCCTGCTACAACACGAGCCGTTGCCCAATAAGTAGGTCGAGCTCGTAAGAGGAGAGCACCACCTCGCGCCAATGCTTCTCATCGAGAAGCGGCCTCGTTTCTCCCGAAAGACAAATGGAGCATTAGCTGTTTGGGGACAGCTTTGTGTATCTCTGGTAGGGAAGTGTTTTAACTCACGGCAACAGGCTGTGTAAATCAGAGCTGGAGCCGCAGCCAAATGATGCAATTAGAGGTCTTGCTGTCAACAAACAATCATGCAAATTTGTTCTCTCTGATATGAATCAAGGAGGAGACATGACTAAGCATGTAATAGCAGAGGGTTTGGAGAGGAAGAAGTTGCCCAATGCTTCCTAATGAGGGAAAAACTTATTGCAAAATGGAAACAGTGAAAAGGTGAAGATTTGTGCGCGTCTCTCCAGGAACTGATGTGGCCAGGCAGTACCTGACGGCAGGTCCAGTACGAGGTTTGGGTAGTTTGGTCTCTCCTCTGAAGGCATGTTTTCCCGACAGGACTAGTCCCCTTGCACAAAGCTTGCAGGATGTTTATCCTCACCAAGGACCAGCTAAGTACTTTTTTTTGCTGACAGCCAGCTCTTGTCCCCCTCAGAGCTGAGCTGCAACTAGCAATTAAAGGCAATCAGCAGTGTCCTAATTAAGGGCAACACTTGCAGCCATTAGTTGGAGGTGTAGGATGCAGAAAGGGTGTTTGGGGGGGGAGGCTGGTGCCTGTGGTGAGCCAGACGCAGCCACGCTCCTCGCTGGGGAGGTGGGGCCAGGACCTCGTGGGTGCTGGGTTCGCAAGCGGGGAATGGCTGCTGGTGTGGCCACTCTCACCCGGGGGAATTTGCACGCCCCGGGATGGTCTCAGCACCTGGTTTGGGGTCTGTAACCCGCCTGCTGAAATCCTGGTGCCTTAGCAAAGCCCCCGCTGCCTTCACTGGCGTCTGCCTCAGACACTTTCAGGCCAAGCATCAAAGAAGTGCCCCTTTGTGGGTGGTGCAGGTTTGCCGCCTACGTTGACATCTCTCTTTAGAGCAGGAGGTGATGGGGATTTTTTGGTCTCGATTCTTTGGCCTCGGTGCTAAAAGGAACACCCGCTCCCGTCGCATACGCAGCCCTCGAGCACCTCTGCCCATAAGCAGACGGTGCGGTGCGGTGCGGTGCGGTGCGGTGGGTGGCATCGGTCCCCCGTGCTGTGCCTGGTGACCTCTTGCTGAAGGGGTGCGGTGCGGTAGGTGGCATCAGTCCCCCGTGCTGTGCTTGGTGTCCTCTTGCTGAAGGACACCATTCAGCTGGGCCTTGGGAGGTGACAGGACGTGTTCCTAAAACATCTTGAAACGGGTTTAAATGTGAACCGAGCCCCCGGCACCCCACGCCCCCAGCCCCGATGCGGCACCCACCCCAGCACCCTTCACAGGGCAGGCATGGACCTTTCCATCCCTTTCCATCCCCAGCCCTGCGATGGCTCAGCCGCCGTTTCGACACGTACGGTGCCATACGCTGCTCCGTCTGCCAGGTGTCTCCTGCACCCTGGGTGGCCCGTCTTTCCGTGCACATCAGGCATTTCCCTTACAATGCGCTGGCTCGGAGCCACAGCCGTACGTAAGCAGCTGCTCAGCTATTAAACAGCCTTATAATCTCAGGACTTAGCATCAAAGCAGAAGCTCTCTTAGCAGGGACGTGCAGGGATCAGACTTAAAAGAAGTTGCCGAAGTAGGCTGGGGAGGAGTCTTTGCCAAGTAACATCTGTCTAAGACAGTTAACATTAAGTACAAAAAAAAAAAACAACCCCTTTTGTTCGCTTATGTTTAATGAGCCAGAGCGTGCTCTCATGGAGCCCAGTGTCTCATTTCACTTTCTAAACCAGGTCTTGCATAAGCCCATGTACTTACCTGATCTTTTCCTTCTCTTTCAAAACAGGCATGCAAGCCCAGCTGGCCTTTTGCTGACAGCTGTAGTGGCAATTTCCTACACAATCGCAGTGCTGTATGAGGGGTGAGTAGCTTTGCAAAACTGGAGAGCTTCTAATTATTTCTACCAGCTTTAACTCCCGAGGTTTTGGAGAACTGCAGAAGTAGAGATGCTTTTTCCAATTAATTCAGTGGGGAAGAAGGAAAACAGAGGATTGTTTTTCAATTGTTTTGATAATGGGCAGATTCCTCTCAAACTATTTGCTGAGTTCTAGGAACATTTATGCATTTGTTTATTTTTATCAAAATGAGATCTTTTTTTCTTTTGAGTGCCTGAGTCTGTCTATACAAGAACAATAAGGAAGGCAGTGAGAGGGCTTATTGTGTCATCTGAAGAGACCCTGCAAGAAGAGCTTGCATTTTGTCGTTCCTTGGATGGGCTTCTCTGCTATTTTACACCACAATAGCCCGGCAGCTCAGGACAGAGCAGCCCAGAATTATTCCCAGAAGCAGTGGTTGTGCTTCAGCAGTGAAAGGTCTTTTGTGCTTGCAAGGGAGGAGATGCAAAGAGAGCCGAGGCCGGTCTGCGTGCAGGGGGAGTCCAAGCGTGTGCTGAGCCTTGTCCCGCTTGGAGGGATGGTCCCGGGTGGGAGCCGCTCCGCAGTCCAGAGAGACCGAGCCGAGGATTGCCATGGCACGGGAATAGTTGGGCTGTGCCAACCCATGAAGGGCAGAGTTTCTGGGCCCAAAGGAGAGCACACAGTAGTCTTGATTTTATCTTCTTCCCCCCGTTCTTTTGCCCCTCTCTTGTGTCTCTGTCCCCTCTCCCCCCAAATTCCCGTCCTCCCAACCACAGGCCTTTCACAGAGGAAATATATCGGCAGAAACAGAAGGGAGCGAAGAACAAGTAGCAACAGGTATGTTTGCCGATCGGTGTTTCAGCGAGAGGGGCTGTTTCGCCAGGCTCCCCCACCTACAAGCGTGTTAGACGGGGGCGGGAGCACCACCCACCCTCCCAGCGTGCCCCTGCCCAGCCCTGCCCTCCCCGGCTCCTCCAGAGCCCTTCCTGCACTTCTCAAAGGATTTGAGCTTCAAACCTCCGCAAAAACCCAGGCGGGAAGGCTTTACACAGCGGCGG